TCACTGCAACATTAGTTGCACATCATGTTAAAAACGCTAGAGTAATGGTTACGTGGGCTGAAAATGATCCGAAGACTTTAAACAAGGGCAGAATGGGGACAAGTTAGGTGAGGAGAGGTGGAGAATCTGAGAAAGTGTACGTGTGTGTGCGTGTGCGTGTGCGTGTGCATGTGTGTGTGTATGTGTCAGAGAGAGAGAGAGGGAGAGAGGGAGAGCGGGAGATGAGTGTGTGTTAGAAACCAGTGGAGGAGGGAGAGGGGTGTGCAGTAACATTCACTCTTAGCTAAGACCGTTTCCATGGCTAAAAGATGAACAGATATTTGTAGCTGGGAGATAACTCTCCACCCACTCCTATACCCCAACCAGGGTGGATCTGAATAGGACTTTTTGTCCATCTCTGGTTTATTTTCTACAAAGCATCTACAGTCATCTTTCTTGAACATTAATTCAATTATGTAACTTCCCTGCTTAAAATCCTTCAATGGATTCATGTTGCACTCAGAATAAAAGCCAAGCTCCTATTCTAACCTACCAACCCTACGTAACTCGCCCTGCCCACCTCCCCAACCTCACTCTCGGCACCCCAGAACCCTGACTTTTCTGCTCACATGTGCCAAGCTCTTTCCTGCCACAGGTCCTTTGTGTACGCTATCCCTTTTGCAGAGAATATTCTTCCCAACACTCTTCAAATATGTATGTGTGATCTCATCAGAAAGGCCCTCCCTGGCCACCATATCTTAAGTGTGTTTCCCTTGTTGTCTATCATTTCACAATTTTATTCTCTTCATAGCATTAATTGCAATTGCAATTATAGGAACTGTTTATTCATTTGTTTAGGTATCTTCCTCACCAGATGATAAGCTTCATGAGGGCAGGAACTATGTCTGTTTGCTCTCTCTAGTGCCAAAGGTTGTGTCCATTTATTTAATAAATGCCTGTTGGTAATAATGTCTCCTTACAGTGTTTAGGGTGGCAAAGGCCCTACCTCAGAATGGATCCAATCCAAGATAAAGAAATATACTTGCAACAGCTTGATGAAGTCTCCGGATAGTCAGAAGTGACTGCAGAGGTGAGTGGGCTCTGTTGCAATAAAAAGCAGTATTAATAGGAAGTGCGTTTTACAAAGTGGTAGATGTCCAGGCGTGGTTTTGATGGATGAATGAGGGGGAATTCGTGTGCTCTGCTTGCCACTAAGGCAGGCTGAAATTGGGGTAAGTGGAATTTGACAATTGAGGCGTCTTTGAACATTGAAAAGTATTGTTTGCTCTTAGTAGGAGTGTGTGTATGTGTGTGTGTGTGTGTGTGTGTGTGTGGAGCGTGCCTGGGAGTTTCTGTGTATACATGTCTGTGTGTACGTGCACACACAGACACATTCTTGATTATAAGAGCAGCCCACCGGATAACCAGGAAGCACGAGCAGCACAACTGACCTCTCACTGATGGAGACACAGGCTGAAGAGAGCTGGTCCTGGGAAGCCCAGAGCTTCCCGTGGGCACCTCTGCCGCACTCTCCGCCCGCACCCCGCCCACACTCACCCCTCCACACACGGCCTGGGATTATTCTCTCCTGAATAACTCAGACTCCCTGAAGGCTTAAGGGCTGTGTGTTGGACCAATGGGGACAGATCCCAGGGGACTTTCTAAGGGGAGGGGGGGGGAATGGGAGGAGAGTGGCCCTAGCATTGGTTTGAAGTGGGAGCCTCTCTCGGAGGGGGAAGGACGACTTTAACACCAGGCAGCAAGTCTAGAAACTGGCGCTTCTCCTTGAGCATATTTGCTTGCCTGGTTGTGCTGTTGTTTCCTTTGGACTGTGGGAGTAGTCTCACTTAGTGCATAATGTGAAATATTTTCTCTCATCTTGTAAATCCTGTCAGTTATCCCCAGTCCTCTAACCTGGTCTGTTATATGCATGAGATCTTGTGAAAGTGGAGTTGTGGGGAATTCAGAGATAGGACAAGAAAGTAGTGTGACCTTCCTCACATCGCTGTTCTCCGGAGGCCATTATGGTAGGAGCAGCTTTCCATGGAGGAGGGTGGCCCGGGTTCAGGCTGGAGCAGGAGAGGAGGTCCCGGGGAGGGCTCTGGGCTGGGGTGGCAGTGAGGTGCTCAGCTTGGAGAAACCGTAGTTACATGGGTGGTGGCTGAGAGGTTAGACCCCCTGTTATCCACAAAGACACGTGAGCAACATACATGACCCTTCCTGTGCCAAAGGGGCCCCACTGATGGTAAATATCACCTGAGTCCTCGTTGAAAATACCCACTGCATGGCTCCACTCTTGAAGGTCTGGGGTGTGGCCTGGGAACCTCTATATTTTCCAGGCACCCAGGTGATTCTTCGTATCATGATGGGAAATGTGGGACTCACTGGGGTGACCCTTGCAGGGCTGGGGAGAGACTGCAATCTGGGTCACACCTTACTGACCCTGCTTCAGAGATGACATGCAAAAAGGAGGGATATATTTATATCTCTGCATATGTAAATATGTATCTCTCTATTCTATGCATATATATGTATGTGTGTTATGTGTGTGTATATGCTTAAAATTACCAGGAAAAGCTTCTTCTCTGGGAGAGGAGATTGTGGATTGCCCCACTGAAAAAATCAGAGCAGAACCAGGCTTTCAATGGGCTCCCCGCTTTATTTATAAACCCATCTCCCAACCTTTCTGAACTTCTCAAACAACACAAATTCATCTCAAGTTGCACAATCTGTTACCTTGGCAAGCTTGTAATGACAAACCCTATTTTACATCTTTGAATGTTGCTTCTAATTACTCTACTTAACGCTGAGAGTAAGAACCACGGCGGCAGGGGAGGGGCGGGAGTGTGCTTGCGGGTTTGATTTGATTTGATTTGATTTTTAAAGTAGTCTTGCTGTCAGTAGTCTTTCTATCGTTTCTAGAAAGAAAGGATATAAAACTACCCCTTAGGACAGATCACAAGCAAATTGTCCTGTTGCGTGGCAAATTTGTTCTTTTACTTTTTAAAACCACTTCACCCATGTTCTTTTTTCTCTCATTACCCAAAATAGCACAAGATTAATCAAAGAGCAAAAGTGATAATATAGATGTCTCTGGAATCCTGTGTAGCTTTCACACAACTTTTAATTGGGAGTATGTGCATATATATGCACACACACACACACACACACACACACATACATACATATACTCAGAGAATGCTAATAGTGCTCTAAAATAGCAGTTTCTCTAGTCCAGTTTTTATACTACACAATAACACCCAACCCACTGCCGTGCTTTAAATGGTAGCAGAGACAAATTTTTCACTAATTATACATTTTAGGGCAGCAACTCTGTGCTGGTCTTATGGTGTTTGGGGACATTTTTGATATATAAATAGTTAAATGTGGTCTGATTTAAGTGAGGCTTATGGATTAAAAGAAGAAGAAGAAGCAGCCTTCATTCCCAGCCCTCAACTCTCTCGGCATTTTAGAACCACAAAGATAGATCCTATAAAAACGGTGGATCCTTTTTTCCCATTCTAGTCCCTGGAGAGTGCTGACTGCACAGTCCGACCAAAGGATGTGTGGAGGCTCCACTACTCAAGATTATTAAATGTTTTGAACAAGGAATGATTCTGTTGTCATGGGAAGACTGTGGCATGTTGATGCAGTGGCCTCCCGCAGGCCGAGTGTTTACGCTGTGGGCCATTTATTTTTAAAATTAAATTAAAATTCTTGCTCTTAAGACGCTGTAGTTTGTTTGCTTTGTTTTTGGTTTTCGGGGCAGCTTGATTTCCTCCACATTCCATGTCTGTGCTCACGTGTGTGCCTTACTTCATGGATAATCCCGCACCTCCCTGCCAAGTTCAGATGTACTTGGCTGACCACAGCGTGACATCTCCCAAGATCACTAAGCTACCACCTATTACAATTTTTAATGCAAACCCGAATCCTGGAATCCTACTGCAGAATATTACATTAACACACAACAACTAATTATCAGAGATTTTTAACAATCACGGAGTATATAATAACGTGTATTTGCAATTTTGTCTCTTAAGTTTTGCAAGCTAATGTGAGTGAAAAAATGTCAGACATCTTGGGGGCTTAATATAATTCTGCACTAAAAAGACTATGAAACTGAATACAGGAACGTACACGACTGCTAGGAGTTATTATTGTATAAAATACAATGAATGAATATTTTTCATGTGCTTAATTCCTGCTGATGGAAATTGCACATATAAAGCAAAAACTTCTTGGTGTCTTTTCTGGTGCTTCTCTTAATAACAGTAACAGCAATTATCACAAAGAATTCCACAATCTTGGGGCATTATGACTACAACATAAATAGAAAAAAAAAAATAACTCCGGGAGGCAGAATTACATTACAAACTGCATCATAACACATATTTGTCTTGCTATTAAAAGTTAAACTCTTCCAAAACATTTCCAAATGACTTACATTCATTAATAAATGTGATTTTCATTTGTTAAAGAAAAATGAAAGAAAACATTTAGCATAGTTTTACCCTCAGCTTTAGAAATGTTATACATTAAGTCTAAATTGACTCTCTCTTTTCTTTTTTTGATTTGGTGTCTCCACTTTATCTTTTAAAAATGGAGAATGTCTTCTAAATAGTTCAGACTTAATTTTGACAGTTTCTGCAGGCTGTTGGTTTCACGGTTTCATAAGAGAAATGAAATGCAAGAGTCCACATCTAGCATCCACCTGCCTCAGGTGAGCCCAAGGCGTCCAACAAAGTGGAATGAACTGATCCACCCGAAGATGAAGCCCTCTCTGGATTTGGCAAGCAGTTTATGTGCAATTCTGCCCCTCGAAGTTTGCACACATTCCTGTTAGCATCAGCTTCTCCACTTCCAAATGAAAAGCATCATGAAATGAAAAGAAATCAGAAATGAAGGGAAAGCAGGTCTACACCAGAAGGGTCATTTCCTTCAGGAGGTGATGCTTCATGTGACACTTCTGTAAGGAAAGGCCTGAGCTGCGGCCACATTCAAGGAATCTGCCATTTTCTTCACGATGAAAGGTTTGAAAAAGTGGACCTTTGAGAGGAAATACTGCAGACTTCCAAATTGGTGAAAGAACTTCCAGCGTCGCTTGGATACTCCGGGTAGGAGGAACTGGAGGAGATGATATTTTTGAGCCGCTGGAGGGCAATGATTAAAAGCAGAAGCAGAAACGCTAAAAGGCTCAGGAATATGGACACGTAGATGTAGACATTTGACAGGTGGCCTGAGGACGGGTCCACCGACGTGGACAGGGATGTGGGAAACAGCTCGAGAAAAGTTCCATTCTCCACACTTCCAGAAAATCCAGATGAAGGGTCAGATTCGGACATCTTTACGGAGGGTGAAGGAGTGAACAAGTAAGTTAAAAGTCAAAGGTTCGCATGCAGGTTAGAAAGGACAGAACTGGAATTTTTTCTCATGATAGTGTTAGCAGAAATTGCAAGCTGTTAAATCAACACAACTTCTTGGTTTTCAAACAAGGCAGCCGGGGATCAGGCGTCCACTGAGACTGCAAAAAAAAAAAAAAAAAAAAGCAACTCAGTGCATTCTTCAGAAAATATCACATTCAAATCTCATTTTTAGTTTTTATTTTAGTACAGCTTAATTAAAAAACCCACCAGGGAGGAAAAAGAATGAAATAACTCCCCCAGGAGTAAGTAATGTTTATGTCTTTCTATTACGAATGATGATATAGAAATGAACTTATCTTTTCTCTCCATGGTACCCTAGGTGCCAGGTTTCTCTAAGGAACTAGAGATAAAATAAAAAGGAAAATACATTTCTGATGTGCTCCATCTGCTGCAATTTTAACAGATGCTCCAAGTGGATGCTCTGAGACTAGAACCCAAAAAGTTAGCTTTAAACCTCCCTCCTCCAGAAAACTAATCCCATGCATTCTCCAGTCTGCCAGCTTAATTCCTGACCTCCCTCTAGCACTTTGGGAAATCACTGCACATATGAGTTTGCTTTTGGTTGAGCGTAATATGCTGATTTGTTTATAAACATCGTATCTTCTTGAGATCAGGGGCCATTTCTATTTCTAGGTAATTCTTTTTTTTTTTTTTTGAGACAAAGTCTCACTCTGTCACCTGGGCTACAGTGCTATGGCGTCAGCCTAGCTCATAGCAACCTCAAACTCCTGGGTTCAAGTGATCCTCCTGCCTCAGCCTTCCAAGTAGCTGGGACTACAGGTGCGTGCCACCATGCCCGGCTAATTTTTACTATTTTTAGTAGAGACGGGGGGGGGTCTCATTCTTGCTCGGGCTGGTCTCGAACTCCTGAGCTCAAGCGATCCTCCTGCCTTGGCCTCCCAGAGTGCTAGGATTACAGGCATGAGCCACCACACCTGGCCCTGCTTCTATGTAATTCTTTTCCTTCAGCATGCCTAGGAGCTTCATTTTACATGCTTTAGGCCTTGAATAAGACCTTTAGATCAACTTAGAAGAATAAAAGTTAGAGTCCCTCTGAATGGGAGAGTACTAGGTTTGCTCTCAAGAGACTTAGGTTTGAGGACTGAATTCTCCATTATCTTTGAGGTGTTGGGCAAATTGCCTTTATTTTCTGAGCATCACTTTTCTTACCTGTAAAATGGTCCAGCACCTGCCCCACCTCACTGTGTCATGCTCGGACCAAGATAATAGACAGGGAAGCCCCATGTGAATTGTAAAGGGTTGGAGCAAAATGAGTCAAGTGTGTATGTGTGTGTGTACTTGTGAGTGGGTGTGCATGCGGTGTCTGTGTGTTCAGGGGTGCAGAGGGGGAGTCATTTCCAGAGAAACACTCCTCCCTGTGTGCCTGTGGCAGGGGAAGCAGCCTGAGCGAGCAGGACCCCTCTAGGTAGGTAACTCTCTTTCTTTAAGTCCAGAAAAGATACTCTCCCTAATTCTTTATGGCAGTAGATACTTTTGTTGCAGATTCCTAAATCTTGCTCCTGGTGTGGTGAAGGCTAATGGGAAAACATCCACTCTCCCCCTAGCTCTCCCTTCCTAAACTCTGCCCTACATTTTACCTGGACAACTTGCCTTTTCCACCTATTCTCCACACCTAATTAAGCGGCTGATTCTTAGAGGGGCTGACATTTGCTGCCGTGGCTGGAGCTGAGCAGCACTGGGAAGGAGGGGACACTTCAGAGAGGGCTGTCCCTGTCGGGTGCCACGCAGACTAATGAGTCTTAGTGAGCTCTTGAGTGGGCCAGGGACAACATCTTAGTAGTTCCTAAAATAATTTGACTCCTACTCCTCATTATGCTTTGCCTGGTGATTTTAATTTCATTAGGCTGCTACGGGCTCCTAACAATCCTTAAAAAAAAAAAAAAAACAAAAACAGAAAAGAAAAGAATCACAATGGGACTGCAAATGTGTTACACTGGTTTGGCAATACCTAGCCTTTTTACGGCACGTAAATGTTCCAGCCATTCATCTTCAGGGAGTATAGGAAGAGTCTCAGAGGTAGCACGGTGCATAGAAAAGAAAACTGGGATAGAACTCTCACCGATGGAATGGAAAAAATATTCAGAATGTTCTAATATGACCTTCTAAGTGTAGTAGAGGAAACAGAGAAACCCAGAAGCTAACTGATTTGACAAAAGTAACATATCTAATTAGAAGATAAGCCAGGACTTTCGGTTTCTGCCCACCCTCACCCCTACCATCTGGTCTCAATTTTCCCATCAGTGTGGTAAGTAAGGATTTCACATCATTTCTTTTGGAGCATGGGCAAACAAGGTTAGAACTGCGCATCTTGTGTGCTCCCCACAACTACTTTGTATGTGGGGCAGGTAGAGCAGGAGTAATTCCCATTTTGCAGATGAAATTTACTCGGGGTACATAGCTAGACAGTGACAGAGAAGTGACTAGAACTCACGCCTGAACTGTGTTCTCGGTTTTCTCAACTGTGGGAAGAAAAGAAAAATTATGAGACTTGAATAATTAGTTCCTATCTGCCACTTGGGGCAAGCCCACAGTTTAGTCTTGATAGTTCAGCTTTCCTCCTTGCAGAACAATAATACTCACGTTTCCCACCTCTCCAGGAGGTGATAATGTTTTCATAATTGTACTTAGAAAATAATAAAAGACCATCCCAAGTAAAGTACCAGTAGACACGTAGTTCCTTCTGAATACCTAGAAAGACTAAAAGAACTTTCAAGGTCTCTGCTAGTCCTACAGTTCTGACATATGCAGGTCATAGATTCAGTTGGAATTGGCTGATTTTTCGCAAGTTGCCTTTTCTGCTACCCAAATCTGTATCATTTTCTAGGGGTGGGGCCAGAGGCACAGACAACGTCACTGTGGTATCAGCAATTCAGTGGAAAAACTCACAGCTGGCCACCAGGCCGCTTGTTAATATCTTTTTAAAGGTTCAATATTCCAAGAGTCCTTTTTCACTTCCTGAAGATCACCTTTCAGACCGAAAGCCCTCTGTGACCCTCAACTGGCTGTGGAATAGTTTATAGGAAATGAGGCTCAGAAGATTTGAGTGAAGACTCTGCTCTTTTAAGTGGCGTTGGAAGAATGGTAGAAAATAAAGAAATGAAGCCTTGTGTCCTTATTTGACATTTCACAATTAAATATCTTCCTCTTTAAATATTCCCTCTCCAAATATTACCGATTTAAAATCATTTCCAGAATACTTCTTAATTTAAAATGACAGCTACACACATTTCATTTCTCTATCTACTTCTGAAACAATAGAGTATACGCACTGTTAGAGATCATTTTAATTTGGCAACATTAATTCTCATTTCCTTATTGAAGTTTAAAAAATTGGTATATCTTCTTTCTCTCTGAGGCATGTTTTCTTTGACAGTAAGTGTATAATGCTCAGGATGACCCAAACTGTATGTGTTTGGGCATCGTGACAGTATGGAGTGAGGCCAGAGGTGGCACTGTGGAAATAAAATCAAATGAGTGTGTTTCAAGATGATGCTTCTTGGGCTGTTGCTCCCCAACAGATACACTTTAAAGAGAAGAAGAGACTTCATCTGAAATGCATAGCCTTGACCTGTCTTGGGGCAGCACCAGCAGACTCTCATCTCGAGTGACACCTAAAGCCACGTGGGGATTTTGATGCTTTTTTTTCTGAGCCATCCTCAGAAAGTGATTTTTGAGAAAGGAAAATGAGATGTCTGGATCACAACATTACAAATGAAGACCCGTGGAAATGTTTTAGCACGTGGTCAGTCAGCTTTCTCTTTGTTGTTTGGAATAAAAGCCTGTGCTGGAAAGAAATCTACAAAAAAATAGTCACCTACTGCAGTGAGGCGGGAGGGACGTGCCATCTCTCGCCACGAGCCCAGTGGGGTGGAGAGAATGCGAGCACACAGACAGGGCAGACCTGGGATTTCTGGTTCCAAGTCACTCGGTATCATGTCCCTGGGATGGGACCCTTTTTAAAGAATGGAAGTTTCCCTTCCCACGGGGTGATTATGAGGACTGTGATACGTGGAAGAGCAAAAGCATGCTCTCCAGCAGGTACCTTCATCCCTGGTTAAAGGAAGAAGAGTTGACCGTCCCTCAAGGCTGAGTCCTCTCTCAGAAGCATTGCAAGACCCACAGCAGCCAGCATGTGGGCAGAGCCTACACCACGGCCTTGACTTCCATACTATTATACAACGGTTTATAAAACTCAGCCTACCAGTCAGCCTCAAATGTGGCATAGCAATTTTGGATTTTGTGACCTTTATTCAAATACATCTCTGTGTGAATAACAGCTATTTGAAAGGTTTTTTTTGTTGTGGAAAACTAGGACAAGCTGCTCTGTTCCCTTGCAGACTTTTTTATTTAAAGAGGGGCCTGGCTGTTATGATGATGCATCAACATTCCATCATTATCAAATTCTGCTGTGTCATACTCCAAAAGGTGGGCCTCCCCAAACCATGAGAAATGAAGCTGTAAGGTATTAACAGGACATAATAAAATGCTTTTCCCAGTACACAAATGTAAAATTTAATAGTGTAATGTAATTAATAGGGTTAGATGATGAGTTGGATCTCTTTCTCTGTAGAACAAATAGAAACTACTATTTCCAGAATCCAGAAGGGACCTTATCACATCTGAGCAAAGCTGTTTTTAGTTCTGTTTAGAAAATAGCATGTTTTATATAAGACCTTGCAACTATTCCTTTACCCTTTGCATGATTATCTTCTCTCGATGCTTTCTCTTTGACACTTGGCCTTGTAGGTCATGCTAGCTGAGAGAAGATTGGAGCTGACAATTCACACTCCATACCACCCTTCTCTGAATGTAAATCCTCACTTGTATTCAATGGCAAACTCTAACTCCTGGGCTTGCAATATGAAAATAAAGATTAATGTCTTATGTACCATCCTTACTCAAAGCCGACTCAGACATCCATATATTTTCCTATTTGAGAACTGTCCTTATATCGGTACTATGCTTAGGAAGACTAGAATTTTGTGTGAACTCTCATTATGATTCCTTCTATCCACCCAGTAAAAACCAAAACCAAGTTAAGAACATCAGCTGTATCTATCTGCTATCATACATTGAG